CCAGATCAGGGTGATGGTTTCCTTTGCAGGGGTTGGAAGGAAGCTAAGATGCTCAAGACATGCAACTTTGTGAAAGGAAATACAGGATGTCCCCACTGCCTCCTACTTCATCCTGTTTGAAGACTTGCTTGGTCTCGACTGCCGGGAGGTAAGCACTCTCAACAGTGTCCCTGTGCTGCCGAACATGGACAGTAGCCAGCTTGACACATTCTCTGGGTTGTAGGAAAATTCCTGGTGAAACACCTGGAGTTTCTTCTCTCTCTCTCCAACATTCCATCTCCTTTCCCCAAAACTTAATACAAGCGAAAGCTATGTTGCCTTTATTTATTTCGAAAAGGGTTGTGCTTTGACCAGGGACAAGGTCTTACAAGTGGTCAGCCTATTAGCTGTGAGGGGCAGTCAAGAACTTCAGCACACAACACAGTATGCTTCAAGGCCATACCTGAGTGTAACTGTTCTGGGCCAAATGTTCCTCTGTGTTCTTTCTATGTCCACCCTCATAAGATGGTATAACTTGCACTTCGAGGGAGGCTCTGGGAGGCTTTCATAGCATGCCAGGCCATTAGGCTCGTAAAAAGTGGTGCTAGCTGATATTCGGGATTGTAGACCCTGAACCCTTCTAAATACAACCTATTCTTTGGTTTAGTCTGGTTTAGAGATCCAGGGGCATATTTATCAAGATTCACTAGGAGGCAGATCCCAAGGGCAGGAAACATTTAAAAACTGGATACAGTTTAATATCTTCAGCATGCTGAGTTCCCAACTGGAGGACCCTCACCCCTCACTGTTTGAAGTAGGGGTGCTGTAGAAATCATGTTGGCATTGGTATTAGGGGGATCAAGGTCTGAGTCATGGTTCCTCCTTGGGCTTGGTCAGTCTTTCACTGCTCTCAACTCTGAGGTTTTCCTCTCTATATGAGGGAGAGTAGAGTAATCATGAATTTTAGAGATAAGGTATATAGCGAAATAGGTGCCAGGCACACAGTAGAAGCTAATAGAAAAGTTTCATAGCATATTTGTTTACTCAAAGTTATAGAATGTTACCCTCCTCCAATGTGTGTGGTAAATCCCGACCCTCTTCCCTGTGCTCAAAGTCTCCCTTAGGCCTGGGTTGCCTTTAGGAGGCAGGATCAGTGTAAGATATGCTTGAAGGCAATCATCTTTGAAAGATTACCAAAAGCAGATGAGGAGAAGCATGCAGCAGAAATGGAGGAAGAGAGATGCCCCGCCATAAGAAGATCCCTCAGGAACCAAGGAACAGGGGCTTCCCGTAGAGCCGGCAGGGAGGGGGAGTCTGAAGAGAAAGAGAGAGAGCTGGGGTCCTGGATTGTGACGTTCACCTGCTCAACTGGGAGAAAGTACATTCCTATTTGTGGAAGTCCTTCACGTGCGGTACTTCCGTTATAGCAGCTCGAAGAAACCAAGACATTCAGTGTGTACTATCTCGTGAATGGAGCAATCTCAGCAGGTGGTGAGAGAGTTAGACGCCTTAAATGTGCATTTGGTGAGTGTGAGTCTACACTAAGTGAAGGAAGGCAGAGGCAGTTGATGAGACAACGAGCGAGGCAAAAGGAATCAAATTTGGCTGTGACAAGTAAAAGGCTTCTTTGACATCCTTCAACTTGTGACAGTCCGGGGGAAATCTTGGAATAAAGAGATTCAAGTTCGTGTCTAGGGCAAGCAACTAGAATTGTAGAAAAACTCAAAAGTTGCCTATCCAGTGGCGTCAAGTTGCTTTTGTTATGCTTAGGCAACCCCAAAGCAGCTGCCTCTTATAACACACTCTCATCGTGGAATTGGCTCTGACTCCCTGTGACCCTGTCAGCCTCAGTTGAACGAACCCATAGGGCTTCCAAGGTTGTAATCTTTACAGAAGTGAACCCGCCGTCTTCCTGCTGTGGAGCAGTTGGGGAGTCCAAACCACTCCCCTCTGTGTTAGTAGCCACACGCTTAGTCAAGGCACCATGGGGGCTCCTTTCATAACACATCCAAACTCCCAAACCAAGCTCACTGTCATTGGGTCATTTCTGACTTGCAGCAACCCTGCAGGATAGGGTGTAGCGGCCCTTGTGGGTTACTGAGACGGTAAATCTTGACAGAAGTCAAAAATCTCAATTTTCTCCTCGGGAGTAGAGTTGGGGGTTTGGAACTGCTGACTTGTCAATGAGCAGACCGACCCAATGGGTCATCCTCACTAGGCCACCAGGCTCCCCCAACATATCACGCTACATAAAGTCATCAAACTTCAAATGGAAGCAGTCAGCATATGAATACAAACACGGCAATCATTTGTTTAACTGTAACAATTTTAGAGAATTTTTGGCATGCTTAAAGCTACAGAGTTTTTTTTGCATAAGTAAAAATAAATAACTTGTCTATTGTTTACTCCACTCCAATTATGTTTAGAGTGACACACTTTTGCATACACAGGCATGTTTATACGCAATCTCATCTTATGGGCAAGGGAGCAGATATCAAACCTGGCCTTAATGGGCTGGATGGGAGTATAAAGCCCACTGTCCTTGAGCTCACTCTTACTCAGAGTGACACAATAAAGAAGACAGAAGAGTGTCAACAATTATTTCTAAAGAGTTAAAAAAAAAGAGTTTCACAGTGGAAAAATGGCCAGAGTTTTTATCTGATGATGAAAATATGTTCTAGCTATTCATTTTTTATGAGAAGTGGAATTAACACCAACTTCCCAGTGCTTTCAGGCTTCCTCATAGCTACCATTTAAGTTTAGCTGTCAAGGGGCTTAAAGATCCCCTCTAGACGAGAACCATGCTTCAGTGCCTTGTGCTTCTCCTGCTTCTCCGGTCCAGGAGGATGGGGAACAAGAATGGTTCTTCTGACTCAGACTCTGAATGAAGCTTTTCTAAATCATGAAACATAGTCTCTCTTGTCTAGGCAGAAAGAGAAGCAAGGGTTGAATATCCAAATTTTCCCTAGGCGCCCACCTCCCTGCCAGGACACCCACACCTGGGAGAGCTGTTAGTGGAACATGCAAACAGAATACAGGAGTCTAAAAGCTCAGCCAACATCTCAGTGCCAGAACCCACATTACAACCGCAAGACCGGGATCTGCTGGCCACAGAGAACACAAGCCCCAGCATAGGGCTGTAGAAAAGTGATAGGCTGGGTCTGCGCACAATGACAGTGAAACCCACATTCAAGTCAAAGCACATTCTTCACTGCCATGTGTGGAAAGATTCCCTTGCAGAATTCAAGGCAGTTTCATTGCAAAGGGTGGAAGAAGGCCACCACTCCTTGCCATGTAAAGGCTACTGAGGGCTACAATCCACTCTGAATCTTAGAGGGAATTACTCAAAGGGACTGTGGTGCCATGCAATGGGCAGATGTTTGAGGCACAGGATTCTAGTCGAGATTCATTCAGAAAATATAAATAGGATTTTAAATTTCAGAAAATATAAATAGGATTTTAAATTTCTATCCCACTGACATTGAGTCAATTCCAACTCACAGTGACCCTGTTACAGGGTTTCCAAAGCTGTAAATCTTACAGGAGCAGATAGTCGTATCTGCGGGGAGACTGGGGGGGGTTGAACTGCCAACACTCAACAGCGTTATCAGTCTAACGCTGACTGAATAGCTCCACCAGGGTCCCAATTTATTATGGTAGGCATGTTTACAATTTTTACATATCGTCACCGACCATCATTAATAACAGCCTGAATTATTAAGACTCACTAAAAGTGCACAGGAAGCAAAAATACAGCATGTTTCTCAAGTCCGTGTGAAAGCAGGACAAGGCGAAGAGTGGGCCAGAATAAATTAATGAACTTCTGTTACGTGAACAGTCAGAATTCCTGCTTGATACTCTTCTTGGGAGGAGCAGTCAGGCTCTGTCCCAAACAAAGCATTTGTATGTTTGAAAGTGCAGGCAGAATGTGTCGGATCACTAACAGCTGATTACAACATGTCAATGGTGAATTGGGGACCTTGAACCTCTTCCATTATACAACAGTAAAGCAGTTGAAAAAAACGCAAATCAAGATGTGCCTTTCCAGCTGCCATTAACTGATTTTCACGATGGACTTCAGGAAACAGGGAAAAACACCCTTTCTAGGCCACCTCAAAGAGACTGTGGAGTAATTTGGCAGTCTCAGTATCAGCATGAGACAGCCCCCACCCACCGTCCCTCGCCACCTCCCCTCCAAAACCACCCCAACCCCTTGGTCTTTAAATATGCTACAAACGAAACTTTATATGCTCTTGGAATTGCTTAATGGATTTTTGTTCCTAATAATTAAACGGAGACCTTCATATCCACCCTCTTTTATCCAGAAAGGCCATACTTCCCCCATGGACTCTCAGAACCCCCCAGAACCCACAAGTAGAGACTTGGCCTCCCTTAGCAGCAGAGCCTTTGAGTGTCCTTCTCACTTGTCCTGAAGGATTAAGGATCAGTATCCAGCCAAGGTGCAGTAAAAGGTAAAATCTCATTAAGCTCTATGTAAGCGGAGAAACTGGATGTATCTGACACGGGGGCTTGAACACTTGCTCTAGAATGACAGTGCCTGGGGATCGGCCGCCATCTGAAGACTTCCTCTCCAGGCGCTCTCCCCGTAAATGTTGAATGTTGCTGTCAGTGTGGTTAGCCCGAAAATAAAATCTCCTCACCGCCATCAAGAAATAGCTCCAAACTTAGCGCGTGAGCTCAAAATATTCATGATGAAATCAGAATCCTATATTTATAGTCTTTTGGATGGTGTATGCGATTCTGTTTCCCATGGTATTTTTCCTTGAAAGGGCCAGGCATGAGAAACGGGCTCAGAGGACAACCGAGAAAGGCTTTGCAGCAAGGAAGTGCTGGTCACCATCATTTTGGACTGGCCAGTCCTGTGGGAATCCTCCCTCTTCCTTGGGCCCTATCCCCCTATCTGCTGCTCCTCCCCGACCCCCACTCCCAGTAGGTCCCCTCGCGTGATGGCCCTGCCTTATCATCCAGGGAAACCGCACTGACCTTCTGAGTGGGAAGTGGAGTTGGTACCTAAGTTTGTCCCCCCTTCCTTGTGACCTTTCCTGACCTCTAGACTTCCTCCCCATTTTCATTGAGGGAGATGGTGTGCATCTTAATGGTTGGAACTTGATGGTTCTCTTCCACGCCAGGGGTGGAGGGCCCCACACAGCAGCAGACCTGCAAAAAGCCTTTACTCCTCACCCGGGCTGTAGTGCAGGCTGACTGGTCTTTGGGCATTGTAATCCGGGTAGATCCACGGGGCAGGGAAGAGAAAAATTTCCATTCACAGACCCCATCCGTCTTGGAGATCTTATAGAAGGTCTCTCCGGACCGCACCGCGATGCGCGTCGTATCCTGGTGCCGCCCCTCCAGGGCCTGGCTGGGCGCGTGGAGGGTATAACCCAGAGAATACTTGGAAGACTGCTTTCTGCGGAGACACTGGATTCTCAAGACGTTCTGAAAAGCCTTTTTAAACTCTTGACTGGAGCAGGGGTAGATGATGGGGTTGATGCAGCTGTTTAGGTATCCGAGCCAAAATGCTATTTTAAAAACGGTTTCCGAGGGCTTGGACTCGGGGAAGAAGGACCCTGGAAGTAAACAGAGAGATGCATGACCATTACTTGCAAGCCAATTCGTTAGGAGGGACAAACGAACCAAACATCTGTCTATTTCTTTAGAAAGTTTTCAGACAGCTCCCAGTGCAATTGAATGTTTCACATCCGATTACGTGACTAGCCCCTGTGAAGGCAACCCGGTGGTCTGTAAGGGGCAGTTGGCCACATGGGGAGGGTTGTGCCAGCCCTGTGTCAGAATAGCATGTTGGTCTCTGCTGTGGGACCTTCAAAAAAGGGAACCATGAAATCGATGGTGTCTAAAAGGCAACGTGCTTCGAAGGAATGAAAAAATAAATTAAAATCTCTTAAAATAATTCACTTTGAAATTGGTTTACCCGACTATTTCTTTTTTCTGTTGATGTTGTGTACTACAGACATTAGCCTAAATAGGTATGAGGTGATGATTTCTTCCCTCTTGACTATTGGAGTAGGGTGTTTTAAATGGGAACCCCAAACATACAAGATACTGCCTTTGCCAGCTTTTGGCCAGGGATTTGGAGACACTTATCTTTGATAACGCCTTTTGACATTTGAGTATGCTCCTTGCTCAATCTTCCTTTCTATTGTTTTGGAAGTGGAAGAGTGGGCTTAGTTTCTGTCTTGGAAATTGTATTAGTGTGGACACTTTAGAGACACAAATCCACAGAAACTCATATGCATAAGAGAGAAAAGTGCAGATTAAGAAAACATCCCAACCCAGTCTGCCCAAGCCCACAAGTCCAACATTAACCCATTAACCCACATGTCCAACACCAGTCCACAAAG